TCACACCTACTTATTCATAGATTGTATATTTCGTTTGGATGTTGTCCAATTGTTTGCCGTAGTTCTAGAGATTATCGATTACTTTACGCGTGTATATACACACAGATAGAAGATAGATTGATAATGTAATACACATGTTGCGTGCTTAATGGGTGGTAATAGTGTGGTGAAATAGCATATACTTATTATTTACTTTACTTATTACTCTTGCTATTTTGTTATTATTTGTTGTTGTGTTATTGCACGCACACACTCATACCATTACCCATAACCACAACGATAACAATACAAAAGCTAAATACTGAAAATGAAAAAAAAAATGTCAATGTTGCCAGAGATAAAGAGTATAATAGATTATAAAACGTGATAAACAATAATAAATTTTCATATAAATAACACAAAACGTGGGTAAATAAGAAAAATTATTTAAAAATTAATTTGATAAACTATAATGAGACTAATTGGTCATAATAGGGAAAATCAAAAATCCTTCAATTTTTCAAAATATTCTAACTCAATCTAGGTTTAGTATTAATATTTTACTTGAATATCGTCACACAAAATAAAAAATCCCATGTTACAAAAATCTTTGAAAAATTTGTGAGAAATTTATTGAAAACTTAGCTTTCGACTACTCGTTGCCATTAATAATAAATTAATTATTCGAAAAATTCCAAAATCTATTCAGACATGGATTATACAACACTATTTATTTAATTATTGTTAACATTTTTATTTTCTGTCAGTAATAAAAAATAAAGTTTTCTCATTTTTTTCTTAATTTTTATGGTTTTTGAAACAGTGCGACGATGAATCTTCCCATATTTTGCTATATTTTTAAAAGTCAATATTGTACTGTTTTCAAAAAGCTTTAACTTATTTTTCACGCATTTCACGTGATGGTCTAACTGTTTTTTATGATCTTTAAACTTGAATATCACATTTAGCACACAAACTTTAAACTAAGATTTACAATATTTTAGACTAATTACATATTTGTTAATATTTGACACAGTTTTACATTAAATAAACTTTAAAAACTTCTTCATCTCATATCCTTTTTGATCCCTTTACTTATTTACTATTCTAGTCCCCATACTGTGAATACTTGTGTTTCCTTACATTTTTATTTTCGCAGGAAATTACCCCATTTCCTTAAACCATGTGTTTACTCACACTACATTTTTTTTAATTTTTAATTAAAAATAATTAATTTGTTAACACCTAAATAATTATGTGTTTGTATATATGGGTGTAAAAAGAAAGATGGGAGCAGATATGAATTAATTTTGTTTAGCCCAAAATCAGAAAAACATACTTAATATAATATAAAAATATTCAATGATATCTTAAATCGGTAAGGTGGGAACACCTGTGTGATATTGATTAAAATAAATTTATTAAATTCATGATAATTTCTTATCTTCTAGGATATGCATAAACAAATATTAAAATATATTAGTCTAATTTGTTTTGAAACATTGTAGTAAAGAAATCTAATAAAATTCAATGACCTTGATAAAGTTAAATAAATACAATTTAGTTGCAAACAATGTAATTCAAATCTAAAATACAAAGGAAAACGCACTACCTATATACATATGAAACAAAAACTTATAACCCAACAGTTCTGATTGACTTCAACTAAATATATGGATTTATGACCATAGAATAACATACATTCATTGATTGATTTTCTGCAAGATTACATAGTGTCTCTAAAGTCAAATATATTTTTAAAATCTAAAATGACACATTGCCAACATATAAAGCACAAGGTGGCACCGGAAACGCAAACGGCTCTAAAAACAAAAATCAACTTTATAGTTGACTATGATGTATTATGTATCAAAACAGTTGTCCACAACAAAAATTGAACTCCTCTGATTTTGGTCAGATTTTATTTACAAAAAACAAAAAGCCCTATTTATAAAAACATTTAAATATTAAAGGTAAAATGTCCAATCGATCCATCCATCCATTTTTATATAGGCCATAGCATATATGTACTATTATTATTTGACGATATGTATATTAGTGCTCAAAAAAAGGTTGTGAATTTTGCGAATTCTTATCTAGAATTGTTCTTTGGGTTGTAAAGCAATGTCATGCAAAAAAACAATCTGATAGGATAATGTTAACAGGTATCGCATCAGCTCTGAAGTTTTTAGGTGCATTTACAAGGGAACAAATCGATATTTAAATTTTTTGTTAAAATTATAGAAAGATATAAAATACTAAAATTAATTAGTTTAGGTACATAGGAGGAAATAACTACATCAGATCCGAAGAAATACACTTAGTACACTATTAAATAATTAATTACACAGAATAAGCATTTCAGAAAGATATAAAACAAAAAATTGGACGGCAGTCAGTCATTCATACATATAAGCAGAAATCAAATCAATCATGCACATAAGTCAGAATTTAACAACTTTACGATGAAGACTTGAGCTTTTACTTAAATACTGAGAAATGCGGTTAAAAACAAATAAACTAAAAAAAATATTCCCACAAAACACGTTAAATGACGTAAAATACATATCAACTAAATGCAAACCAACAAACAAAAAACCAACCACCCATCATTTTAGAGTATGACCGAAACCTGTTTTTCTGACAAAAAATAAATCGAATTTAAATCAATATTTGGTCAAATAAAATTATTTATAAATAATATAAATTCATAAATATGTTTAAATTAATTCGCAATGTAATTTTTTTAGATGAATCTTCAAAAAATCAGAAAATTTTTTAGACACCGAACTTCAGAAATGTGCAGAAAGAGGTAAAAAATACGTGCAAAAATGTATTATTTTAAAGCCATCATATGTCATTGAAACGTTAAAGAGAAAATAAAGATATAAAAAATCAAACAGTTGTATATTTTAACTACTTGGAATGTTACTTGTTCCAGCCAATAAATAAATATAATGCAAATAATAGTATTCTAAGAGTTTTTAACACAACAATGCCAAATCCATATTTCACATTTTTGAGTTTTAAATTTAATTTTTATAGAATAGGAATTGCTTTTATCCGATATGATTTACTATTCTAAATTCATTCTATATGGATAATGTATCGTTAATAGGAAAAAAATAAGGAAAAGTAAAAAAGCGAATAATATCGAAAAATACCTAAATATAAAGTTTTATTTCTTTACACAATCTCTCTCTTCTTCAACTCTACACTTTCATTTGCCAACAAAATTAAGTATAGTGTTAATGAAATATAAAGTTGTTTTTTCTGTTTCTCTTTTGCATTTTTAGTCAATTCTTTGTTTAAACACACTACATCACTTTCTCTATATTTCTCCGGTGTTTAATATTTCGCTTTATATACTGACATATTTAAAGGTAATGAATCTGCTTATTGCTATAACAATTTTTTTTATTTAAAGATTTGGAAAAATTCAGGAATTAAGTAGTATCATTATTTGCAGTCGCGCATCCTAACCGAAAATTTTTAATTTGTACAAAAAGGAAAAAAGGATTTTTATTGACATATGTATTAGTAATTAATTATTGTTACACTAATTTTATTTTGTAGTTATAGTTACAAATAAATAAAAAATAAAATGGTATCAAATATTATGAACATTCTTTATAAAAAGCATATTAACACAATTCTAAACGTTGACATAAACCTATTCATATACAAAAAAATACTTATCCGTTTCAAGGATCCTTATGGTGTCTAACAAAACGATAAAGGTTGTTTAAATGTTTCTTAATGGGTTTGAGTTGTAACATGAGTAATTACCTCGAATTTGTTATTGATGGCGTCGTTATGTGTAACTTTTGTACCACTTTATGTAGAGTGTAAAGTGTAGTTGTTCAGAGTATTTACTACAACTGGATATAATTATTTTTATTCTAATATAAATACCATAATATCTACTTTAAAGTCAATATTGTTATTTTCTACCCTGCAGGAAATGAAGCGATAATTGTCTTGATGCCACTAGTACTAATACTAGAACAACAGACACTAGTACAAATTGGGTTAGATTTTATATGGAAAAATACTAGTACTGTAGTTGAATGGCGCCACTTGTAGACTGATTTTTGTTTGACATGTTGTGGAAAAAATACATTTTTTAAATTATTAAAATATTAAAAATAAATTTAAAGTTCATTCGGGTCCATCTTTTATATACTACATGTTTGTTATTAAAGTTTTACATTGACTAACCTAAAAAATATAACATTTCGATATTCTCATCATCATCATTTACTTATTTCTTTTTAACTATCTTTGTAGAATATAGAATAGAAAACACAAAAAATTCGTCCTTTCAAAACACCATGAATTTCTGTCGTTGTTCGCTTTAGTCTTCCTTATTAAATTGACAGCACTACTCTGCATTCCGGTAGATATTTTTAACTTGCAACAACATTAGAACAAACCAATGAACACACAAACATAACTTTACTTTTTCTAATTTATACCTTTTACCACTCCCTCTGCTCCTTGACGAGCACTTCAACTCCTTGCCAGCTGTTGTAATATTGTTTATGTAGTTATTTTCATCTTTTGGCTTTTGTTTACTTTGTGTTTATTCTATTTTTCTAGTTTCATTATTGCTTTACAACATAGTCACTTGACTGGAACTCCCCAATAACATCCACAACTGAAGCCACCCACAGTAATAGCGGATGTTATGTTAAGTGTATACGGAAGGATAAACGGAAGGAAATTTTATGTATGTCTTTTAGTGAGACTCGACTTGAGGAGTGTGTGTGTGCGATTTTATTATTTATATTATACCTACTAACAATGGTCATTTATTGATAATATACATATGTATATAATTTGTATGCTTTTCAATAGAGCCGATTCTTAACCGATTTATCGAAATGAATTTCTAATTATTTTTTCATACTGATAAAATATGTTTATTTCTAATGGAATTGTTGTAAATTAGATCTAATATTTTTTATATATTTATGTATATTTGTTTAAATTGATTAATTAATAGATACAACTCTTACCGTGGTTTTGATATTTTTTTCATATCCATGGCATTTGGTTTTAGTAAACGTTTTACTAATATCTCGCATAACAAATAGACATATTGTTAGATTTTTTGGTTTGTAGAGAAGTTTTAGTTGATTGTTTGTCTGCTTGGGTTCTTCTTCACTGAAGCTGCCACTGCTGTTTTTTACAAATAATTGATTTTACATGAATGGCGGAGTAAAGTTTTGTCAAAGATACAATATTTTTCTCAACTTTTTTCAAAAAAGTTTAAAAGTTTTTAATTTTTTTTTCTTTAAATATTTAATATTATTAAAGAGTTTAATTGGTAGAAATGATGTAGTTTGGTAGCACTAATTATTATTACAATAGAAAAGATTTATCATTTATTTTATTGTTATTACTCTATATTTTATTATTATTTATTATTTGCAGTTATAAGTTTTATTCTAGTTATAAGTATAATTTTTATGATATTTATATAATTTCCGTTGTTTTAATGTAGTACAATTTTTAATAATTTTATTTATTTTTATTAAATTGATTTATGTTTGTTTTTTAGTAATAATGGTGATAATTTTTATTTTTCAATTAATAGTTATTGTAAATATTATATTATTTATAAATAATGCTACAAAAGCGTTTAAAAGAAAAATTGCTCAATGTTAACTACTTTCAAATTGAAAACAGAAAAAAGAAATCTTTATTTATTTTTTTTATAATTAATATTTTTAGTTAAATTTTACATAAGTAAGCACTTGGTTAAATATATTTTTATACTTAAAATATTTTTGCGACTTTTTTAATGAAAAAAATATTATTTTTATGTTTTATTATGTAGTTTTTGTTAACATTAATAGTATTTTTCATATTTATTTTATTGCTTATTTTTAGGCAACTATTTACTGTTGTGTTGTATTCTTTTGGAGTTTATAATTTTTGGAATTGGCTTTTATTTACTGATTTTTTTATTTAGAACTATTAATTTTTAATAAGTTTTTTTTTTTTATATTGCAGCTGAAACGAAAAAAAAAAAATAAATAAATTATTCTTTAAGAAATACTTTTTTAATATTTTATTTAATGTTGAATACATGGTATTTTGTAAATAATAGATGTAAGGTTTACCAAATATTTTGCAATCATTTTTTAATAGATCATTATTATAAAAGTATGTTATGTACTTAAATAACTGTTTTATTGTCCTTTACCTATTTTATTAACTCTAGTGGTGACTAAAATTATAAATAGCTTTATTTGGTCTTATATTCAACTGTTAATTGATTAAAGACTTATTTTTTAAATCAAGAAAAAACATTATTAACCTTTCTTTATAAATTCGGAATCGAATTCCGGAACTGGTTCCCATTACCTAGTTGAACAAAAATTTTACACGTTAGTTTTAGACATTAAAAAGAAGTTAAGATCCTTCTGAAGAAAAATGATTAGTAGAATTAACCTAGAATATACATGATTCAAACATCAAACAAGATTCTAGAAATATGCTTTACTTAAAGATATGCAAATGTATGACCAAATATAACAAAATTATAAAAAATGTATGTACCGACAGTTGCGTTCAAAATAATAGGAACAGGTAAACTTCAAAAAGTTTAAATGGAAATTCTTAAGAGATAGATTTATATTTTTAATTGAATATTTTTTTAAATTATTACTTTAATTTGTTCTCTTATTTCAAAATAACAGGTTTATTCGACTTTGGAGTAAAATATTATTATTAATGCGTAAAAGTACAACAGTGTTTTTTGTCAAGATTTTATTTAAAATTAGGGTATCTGAGGCTTGATGATGCATGTCGTGGTCGATTATCTACAAATATGCAGTAATTTATTCAGAAACCGTTAACATACATTATACGCAAGGTCTTTTAACAATTTGTTTTATAATCAGTAAGTCAACAACCATGTCATTGTCTACTTCCACCATTTGGAATGAATAATATTTTTATACGACTACTATACCTATATAACCTTTTGTCAAAATCCATCTTTAATCATTCCTATTATACCACCCCTGCAGTTCGACAAAGAGTCAATGCATAGGAAAAAGACAGTGATTTCCACTTATGTTAATCCACCTGGTGGGCTCTAATTCGTCTTTCGTCACGGATGTACTCTTTGTATACGAGGGTGAGGGTAATCGTCACTTTAGTGTCCCCTTTGTAAGCGAGAGACGGGACACTTAAAAAACACTTGTCTGTCTCTTTGTAACCTATGGGGTGACGATTGACTTCCTCGTAGGACAAGCACATGTTAAAATAGCTAGTCACCTGGACAGTCGGTGGCTAGGGGTGACCCTATGTGGTAGGCTAAATAGGGAGTTCGGGACTGTCCGCCCGAACTGCTGGGACTTCTTGAAAGTCGATTAATGGACTTACAATATATGTATATATTTCGTGAAATTATTTAGATTTAAAAATGAAATTTTTTGTTGTATGCTTTCATAAAAAATTCATCCATACCTATAAGAAACCACCTCTAAATGTGTTACTGGTACACTATATTAGTGTGGCTTCAAGGTCTAAAATTAAATTTTTCCAAAAAAAATTTTGTTTAAAAATTTATCTGAAATAATTGAATATTGATCACGTTTAATAACTACATTTTTGCATAAAATGATTACATTTTATGAGAGATTTTAAAACGTTTACATCACAAAGCATTCAAATAATCTTTTAATGAAATAACCTTGAAATTTTTAACTTTTCTTTTCGCGATATTTTCATAATTTACAAGATATTTTAACAAAATTTTCCCATTCGTCAGATTTGACATGACATATTTGTTTTTAAAAATGTCCTGCACATGTATTCGGTAGCCTCACTCCTATTTTTATGAAGGCAGCTGTAATGTACTAATATAAATATTTGTTAATTTGATCATTTAGATACATATATCGATTTTTGTTTTGCGAAATTTAGAACATCATAGATGGAAAAATCATAAAGAGAATCTAAAAGTAAATATTTTATTGATTGCAAATACCTAAAATGTACTACGATTTACTGCTTATTGATCTTTGGTCCAACGACGTCAGTGAAATGAAATTTAAAAGTAAAAAAGAAATGATAATAGAACGTTAACAAATGAAAGAGAACGACATGTAGAATTATGAAGAAAAGAAAGTAAACAAAAAGTATAAAATGTAAAATATCTATGTATTTAAATATGAATTGGATTTAATAAATGTGACTATATGTAGGTATGTACCTTGTTATTTGTGTTATTTAATATGATGCTTTTAACAATTAATTTATTATTTTCTTGTTGCTGTAATTATTAATTAATTAATTAATTTTTTAGATTTGTTGCTGAGCGCCAAATATACTGATATTTTTCTTATTCGTTTTATTTTCATTTTTTATTATTTTATTTTATTTTGATTTTTTCATTGGATACTCTCCGCTAAACTAATGCTGCATATACACGAATGATAACGAAGGCGTTGTTGTTATTTTTATTGTTGCTGTTATTATTATTTTAAGGCGTTTAAAGGGGGGTAAATCAGGGAGTACAAAAAAACTGAATAAAAATGATTTTTTATTGCAAAATAGTATTAGAAGAGTAGTGAAAAATACATACAAAAAAGAGCCCGGCACACACACGTATAGGAAATATAGAGAAAAAGAAGAAATGAAAAGAATTAATACAGCAACAACCGAAAAATATACGACACTACAAAAAAACAAACGACGACAATGTTTTTTCAAGCAGATGATGACGATTTTTTACTATAATCTGTCCGAAGAGGGGGCAGTAAATTAAAAGTTAAGAAGTATTTTAACAAATGTAGAAAATCAAACACGAACAAAATAATTTAATCGAAACAAGATAAAGATGTATTATATTTTTCGCGTAATGGAAATTGGAATTTTATAGGTACTTGTTTTAATTTATTTTCTTTCTGTGGTGCTCGCCTATAAAATTTTTATAGCAATTGAAATCACACTTCACATTTTCAATTTCATTAAATAAATTGCATATTTCACTTCTTAATTTCTATTATCACATATTTCCTACACTACAATTACTTTTAAACTATAATTATTTCTTTTTTTTTAATATTTTCTTTAATTTTTTAATTTTGTTAAACAACGCGTAAGACGAGCCACTTTCATGTACGAAAACTAAAACTACTTCTTTTGACGACTTTGAAGTCTATCGAAAATTTTCTTCTGCGCTCTCTCACAAACTGTCAGTGTACGAGAGAAATATAGTGATGTTAAATATAAAAAATAAAATATGCGAATAAAAAATGCGAACATTAATAGTTAAATTACATTAAATATTTAATTTATAAATAATATCAAAAATTTAACAAACACCGTTCATACAGAACACAAAATATAACATTGTCATTGATTATTTGTATATCCCCATGCATCTAAATATAAATAATTATTTAGTAGGAAGAAAATATCATCAATCGAATAAAAAACTGAATTTTTAATTAAACAATTAAAAAAACAAAAGTATATTAAATGCGATTTATCTTTTTATTTAATTTTTTTCAGAAAAAATGCAACACTGAATGTATTGCAAAAAACCAAAACATTATCTATCATTAATATAACTATCTCTTTCTGAACTATATGCCTCTTATCGGGCAAAAATATTACGGTATTTCAATCTGTTCCACATATTGACGAAAACAACAGCAAAAAGAAGAAAATATATATTATGCACTATCTTTTTCTCTTTTCATCTCATCAGTGTCAAAAATTATGTTTTCGTGTGAATTTCCCGTTTTTTAAGCAAAACAAAAACAACTAACTAAACGAATAAAAAAGAAATTTCGCCGTGAATACGAAACAAAAGGAATAGAAAAATTAATAAAAGTCTTCCAAAATGAAAAATACTTTATTTTTAAATATCAAAAAACATGAAAATAAACCAAGAAATTGTACTCACTTTAGTAGACTGAATCTTTATGTACAATTCGTCATGAAATTCCTTTTAAACATTTAGAAAAAAGCAACAAATTTAATTTTTGTCTGCTCGTCTTTAAGAGACAATTAAATCACCATTGCACAGTCAATTTAAGAATTATTTTTTTTTGAAAAAAATTTAAATTTATTTAATAATTGCAAAACAAAAGACTTTTCTAATTTGGCCTTTTAATTTTTTCTTTTGACTTATTCCTCCTTTTTGAGGTTCGTTCACTTCATGACAATTTCTTAGTCTCGAAATTTTTGCCAAAAATTTTCATTTTTCACTTTTTGCTTAATCCACTTGGTTATTTTCACTTTCACCAATTGTTCGATGTTTTCAACTCGCGTTTATAAGTTTATGAATAATAGTTTGATTTTTATAATTTGCAATTATTTTTCATTTGTAGAATTTTTATTTAACAAAAAAATTAACGTGAAATTCCGAAATGAAAATCAAACCGAAGTTCGCCATTTTCTATTTTTTGGATGTCTCCTCTTTGTGCTTTAAATTCGTATGGCGAAAAAGGTCGTTGTTACACAATTGACTAAAATTACTTTTTGTTGTAATAATTCAATCAGGGCTGTATTTCATCTCATAGTTGTATTTTCTTGATGATTTTTTTTATAATGTAATCATTTTGCTCAACTGATTAACTTTTTCAAAAAAGTTTGTAAAAATATAAACAATTTAGCATATTTTGTGCGATAAATATTAGATGATGGATTTTAATTTGCTAAACAGTTTTGTGTTATTTCTGTTCTCCGTACTGTTCAATAAAATTATTAAAATTTTCGTTTAAAAAGTCGTCGTTCTTGCAGTAAAATAATCTCATTGCATGTTTATTCGTAATCGATAAACTCAAGATCTATTGCACCTAATAAGATAAAACTTCAAGGGGACAAGAGAAGTGTTCCTGTTAGTTTCTTAAGCTGTCCGTTAGATGGCGTCGTATTATCAAATTTTAGTCAATAACACCATTTTTAATTTGAGTGATGTTCAGATCTTTATGAAGAACCTTCATGACCAATAAAGAGCCTGCCATGCGGACCGCGCTCCACTATTATATTTATAAAAAACCCAGACGAATTGTTAAAAAAATACAACACAAAAGGTCGAATAATTGATAATTGAGCAAAAAACCCACCTTTTCATATTACAATTTTTATTTATTTTAAAATCCAAAATTTCTTTATTATATATTTTTAAAATTTTACAGGAGGAACAAAAAACTGTAAAATGAAGGTTGTTTTCAATTATATTTTTCTTCAACCATCTCAAAAAAAAAAAAATGATTTGAAAAAAGGTGTTCTTCGATTATTTAAATTTAATTATACACTTCCCAGCAAAAAAAGTGTGGAAAAAGATGTAGAATTTTCATCACAACTAGTAACCCGAAGTGCTTCAAATTCGGGTGTAAAACCTATGAATTTTACATTAGCGTGTCATTGGAGGGATGTTGTTCATTTTTGGCAGCTTTGAACTACATCTGATCTTATTTTTAGAAGCAGTAAAAATCCGATATTTGGATGTCAAAAATAAAACACATTCTCTTAATGACACGCTTATGTAAATTTCACTACTCTTTCACCAAATCTTGATATACTTCAAATATGTTATTTGTAATGACTTTTCCACATCTCTTTCCTCACTTTTAACTGGGGTTTCATTTGTAAGGAAATATTTGGTTTATAAAAGTAAAAAATATGAAATCGCATTTTAAGATGTGATTAAGATGTGGTTTGTAAAGTATGACATCAATTATTTTTTGCTGGGTTACTCATCATGGAAACCGACTTGAATTCACCAAATCTATCTAAAATACTCGCCAATAGTGGATTATCTACAAAATAATTTTTCACTTACCTCTTGACTCGACTCTTTACATATGTAAGTTTCGGGAGATTTTCGAATACCACTGATCAATACAATTTTTTTTTTCATTTTTTTATTTATATAATTTTTTTATCAAGTTTTATAACTGATAAATTAAATTGCATTTAAAGAAAAAAAAAAAAAAATACATTAATATTTTAGTAAAGTTAAAAACAAATAAAAAAAATTAAACAATTTGTATTTTGTTTATGTAGTATAAATTACAATATAACACTTCTTGTTGTTTCTTTTTTATTTTGAAAGGATGGAGGGCGGGAAGAAAAATGATATTGTAGCATTTTTTATTACACAGTAAATTTCTAAATGCGACAATAAGAAACATTTATATCTCAAAAATATTCGTGTTTTACAAACTGAAGTCACACGTCGCCTATCATTACAAAAATGGAATTGAAATCAGATATATAAGTTTGAAATCATGTTAACAATTCTAAAATAGTTTTTTATTGAGGCGTCGATGTTTTCTAGGGGTTTTATAAAATCCTTCTTGAATATCGATTGCATATTGTTCGTCATCTGGATCTTCTTGAGCGACAACATGGCCATTGGGAGTAACAACAGCAGCATTTGTTGTAGTAATAGCGCGTGTTGTACTGGTAGTAATTTCATTTTGATTAGTATTTGATTTGAAAAACGAGTTCTTGTCTCGTTTCTTTGTTAGATATGAATATTAAAATGTTTTCAAATGGTTCAATGAATTGAGGAGGATTGGTGAATAGAAGAAAAAATAAAAATATGTTACTTTTGAAATCAATTACTTTTTAATAAAGTAACAAAGAAAAATATAGTGTAAAATATTAACTTAATTATTTTATAGCTTATAATTGTCTCCTATACATGAAAAAATAATAAAAATAATATATTATAAAGGGGAAGAAGGAGGAATAGATGGGATGTGGGGATCTAAGTGTTTGTTACTGAATAGGGTCTTAGACTTTGGGGGGCCCAACTCCCTAACCAGTTGTACATTCCAAGTAATTAATTACGTTTATTTTCCTAAAATAAACTTTAAGTTTTACCATGATTTTTGTTGCTTTATAAAACTAAATGATATAAATTGTTGTTTTTGTTTAAATGTTATTGTTTTCTGTTCTTGTTGTTGTAAATGTTGTGTCAAATAGTATCGCCGTATTAACTAATTGTTAAAATCTGGATCTTACAAAGACTGCACTGGAATCATGTTCACTGTAGCCCAATCGTTTGGTGTGCTTGAAAACTTCATTTGTTATTGCGGTAACGGGCATCGACTGATCTAAATTTTCTGCCATACTCAGAACTAGACGTAAATCCTTCTGCATATGACTGAGTGGTTGCTGGGGATTAAAATCTCCCTTTGCCATTTCTACAAAGAAATAATGTCATAACATGTACCATTTGTGGATAAATACTAAAATCTGACTTACCTCTTCCTTTTGCTAGTAACAGATCCGATTTCATCGACGTCAGTTGGAAAATGTCCAATATATCTTTTAGGGAAATTGAGAAACGATCAGCTAAAAGAGAAAGAATTTGCAATTATATCTCAAATCCTTGTCGTCAGCACAATCTTCGTGGAACTTACCCAATGCTAAGGCCTCAGATAAACCAACTAAACTTACGCCCAATATGGTCTGTAGAATCAAATTAACCTTGCACGCATTGCCAACATCTGCTAAAGTGGGAGACGCGGAGTAGTGAAAACAAAAAAATAGAGGCGTAGAAGAAAAACAAAAATGCATATTAAGCAAAAAAGAAAAACAAAAGCCAGTTGTACAAAACATAATGCAATTTACAATTAAAAAAGAAGCAAGCAGACAGAAAATGAAAGGAATGGGAAGAGAAGAGAGACAAAACGAGGCGTTAAAATAACATTTTTCAGCTTAACCAATGTCTATACATTAATGACAAACAAAGTTACTTCCATTAATAAAAGTAACCTTTGTTTTAAACCGCCTTTCCTCTGTGTATAAACAATAAACTTACCTCCCAAAAAGAATGTGTTTTTGGCAATTGTTTTAAAGCAGGAATGACATTCTTCGAAAACAGTACGATCACCGCCAGCTAAGATAATTAGCATGCCATCTTCAGCTTCTTGACGCGTGCCATGGATTTGTACCTCCAAGTATCTTCCATTACTTTGAGTTATACCCTCAGCAATGTCCTGCGAAGTTTCAGGATCTATTGTGGTCATTTCAACATAAGCTTTATTGCACAAGTCTGCCACGCGCAGGACACCGCAATTTCCAAAGACCAACTAAAAATAAACATAAGTACACATATACTTAATTCACTATATTAATTAAAATATTTCATTAATTCTTACGTCTTTGGAGGCTTTGGGATCTGATACACAACAAAATATTATATCTGAAGCATCCACTACATCCATTGGCGTTTCTTTCACAACAGCTCCTGCCTCTCTGAACGGTTCACATTTGGACATTGTGCGATTCCACACTACCACCTTGTGACCCTTGCAAATAAGGTCTTTAACAATAGTTGAACCCATTATACCCAGTCCCAAGAAACCAAAGGTTAAATCTGAGGGGGCAATATCACGCTCAGCTAACGTTTGAGAGCGCGTATTCATATCAATGGCCTGTTGTTCAGGCACTTTGACAGTTGGGCGTTCTAATAAAGCAATAGAGTTGTTATTGCGACGCGGGGGACTTGAATGTCCCCCTATGTGAGCCAGAGCATCTGTATTAATTTTACGTCTAGGTGTTGTACTGTCATTAAGAAATTCACTATCTTTGCGTTTACGTTTCGAACTGGCTGAAGAAACTGTGGCTGGTATCTGTGCAGATCCGCGACGTTTTGTAGTCGATTTCGAACTTGTCGATTTTGCTTTAGTACTTGCGGCAGCAGTACTTTTAGCCTTTGGTGTACGCTTGTTGGGAGTCTTAGCAGTAACTCCTTCGTCATCCTCCACAGTCGATGCCTCACCATTATTTTCTACATTATTGGCATTTGTATCAATAGTGATCTCTTCTTCCACGGAATACCCATCTCTAATTTTATCGAAATCGGCTTCAGTGGGCAGTGTTCGAATTCCAGTACTCTTACTTATGATGCCATCAATCTCGGTAGGATCATCAATGTGATTTTTTATATCTTCCATAGCTTGTCGAAATGCTGCAGGTTTATTTAACTTCGATAGTTGATCTTTCCATGGTCCCTCATAGGGTTTAATGTTATTAAATTCTATCCATGCACTAAAATACAAAATCACACAAATTATCAATTACATTAAAATTACCAAATATTACAAGTCTACTTACAAATTTCTCGAACCGAAAAAGAATACACATTTTGAATTATTTTTGTGTGTATTATTCAGTAACTCTAAAGGTGGCTCAACAATCTGTAAATAAAAATTAAAAGGTATGTTAAATGGGCGTTCTAACATCTGAATTCAGTAGGGATGGATAGCGTTACCGCAAAGGTATCATACCGATACGCGTTACGTTATAATTATTAAAAAATATGTACATATTTTGTTCTTATGTAAAACTTCTTGCCAATCAGATTAGCAATAAACATGTCTCTTATTTATTATATTATGTTGTTGGTTTTTGAAAATTATTCTTAAATTAATGGAGGAACAAATATAAGATCTCTTCACAGAATTTTTAAGAAGAGTCCATAAATTTGATTTATATCTACAGTAAATTATAACTTGTACGCCTAAAGAGCATGTAGTGTTCTATTGAGAGGGAACCATATTTCAAAAAATATCTAAATAAGGTTATGAATTGGATTATTATTTATTGATTTCGTAACATAAAGCCGAAAGGGCTAAATAAACAATATTACATACATACATACATACATACTTATAAATTCTGATATAGAATATAAGAATATTCAAAAATCTATAAAAATCAACATAAAAAATTTAGTAAAATATTAACAGACACCGTTCGTCAAAATCTTTTTGAACCAAAATGTATAGCTTAAATTAAATTTTAAATTGGTAGATTATTTTTATGCCAGTATCCAGACTTTGGTGAAGATTGTTTTTCTTGTCTGGTTTTGATGAACTTCCATTATAAATATTTTGACATTTTGAGTTAGTATTTATATTTTGGATATAGGATTTAAATTTTTAATATATATTTTTTTTTTCGAAATTATATTACAATTGATTTTATTATTAATAATTTATTTTTTATTTTTAATTCTTTGTTATATGATTATATTTTTATGTATACATTTTTTTAAGTAGAAATTTGTAACCGATTTGTAACCTATCCAATAGGCTAGGTTTATTTTGGAAAATAAATTAAATTATAAATTTTTTTTACTTCTGCGTTTCTTTACAAAAGATTTTCTTTTTTTGGACTTGATAGAATGCTTCTGTAGTGCAGCATTTGAGAATAATAAAAATAATGAGTGCTATTACTAATGCAATGGAAATGAGACCGAATATTAGCTTTAAAATGTACAAATACTGTTCCTCACATTGACGTCTATTTAAAGATTTAATGTAACCAGGATTGCAAGCACAGTCGCCAGAGACACAGCGACCGTTTGTACAAAGGGTGTTGCATGTAATTTCACATTTTCCTGTTGTAACATTTAGGATATAACCACTATTACAGATACATGTATTCGCTGTAATGCAATTCCCATTACGACAGCCGTCATTACACAAAGGTTCACATAATTTTAATGTTTTGTTGTATCTTCCACCATTTTTGCATTTTATACTACTCTCAAGTTTTTCAATAGAAAATTGATCTTGTGTTTTAGATGATTCCTCATAATACACAAGCATGCATCTCTTCGAAGATGAATTAAATTTATAACCAGGTTTGCATTTACACTTTTCAGGTGCTATGCATATGCCATTTGGACAAGGGTTTGTACATTGGGGTTTACATGAGTTTGTTTCAGAATTAAATTTGTATCCAGAATTGCATATACATTTACCAGGATCTGCATCAAAACATTTACCATTTTGACATGTTGTAGAACATTTGGTTTCACATTTACCGTGTTCAGAACAGATAGGTTCACAGTTTTTTGTTGAATTGTTCAATTTGTAGCCTGAATTACACTCGCATTTTTCGGGTGCAATGCATCTTCCTTTGTCTCCATTTTTACAATTTGTAGAACAAAAAGGGTGACAGATTTCTGTTGAAACATTTAATTTATAACCTTTGTTACATTCACATTTTTCGGGTGCAATATATTTTCCATTAGAACATTTTTCAAATGCTCCTTTTTCGTATTTTATAGTAGAATTCTTAAATTCAAAATTAGAAAACATAGTTTCGCACTGTATTGTGTTATTATTAAATTTGTAGCCTTTGCTGCATTCACATTTGTCGGGAGCGATGCATTTGCCATTTTCACACATTTTGTGACATATTGGTTCGCATTGTTTGGTAACATTGAATTTGTAGCCTTTGTTACATTCGCATTTGTTAGGAGAAATGCATTTTCCATTTTCACAATTTAAGCATAACGGTTCGCACTGAATGGTGAAATTATTAAATTTGTAGCCTTTATTACACTCACATGTGTCGGGAGCAATACACGTACCATTTCCGCATGTTGTAGAACAAATTGGAGTACATTTGTTGGTCAAGCTATCGAATATATATTTATTTTTATCGCATTTTATCTCACATATATTAGTTTGCATATTCCATTTATATCCTGAATGACATTCACATTTGTCCGGCTTAACACAATCTCCATTTAAACAAGAATTGGAGCAGTCAGGTTTGCAAGTATTGCTGACATTATGGTATCCCTCACAACAGTATTTCTCTACTTTGGATATGCTGGTATTCTAAAATAATATTTTTGTTCAAAATTGTGTAATATAATTAAGATTTTATTTTCTGTACCTTTAGCACCCACTGGTTATTTGAATCCTTGATTTTTTCTGGTATAATATGAATAGTAATCTTAGTACATAATTTACCAGTCACAACGACCATAAAAACTACTTTTAAAAGTAATATAAATTTAAGACGTGTCATTTTCTTGCCTAAGAGTTTTGAGTATTATGTCTTAGAGTAATTTCAGAAAACTAATAACTTTGCAGAAAATGACGGGCTTTAAAAAGCATCAGTGCAACTTCTTAAGGGGTATTTAAAAGTTTTAAATTTTGCATAGCCCATCAAATAAGCCGGAAAAATATGGTTTTAAGAAAAATTTATAATTAATTTAATTTATGAAGAAATCTATACCGCAATATTTAAGAAAAATATAAATAAATTTAAATGAAGCAAATATGTACATACTTGGAATATTCTTTACTTTGAAATAAATTTAAAAGTAAAGTTTGGGCTATTAGATACTGTAAACTAAATATATTAATTATATATTAATATACATATTTATTATACAAGTAAATTATGTAGTATTAATAAATTGTGAAAAATACATAAATGACTATGAAGATATTTCAAATGAAGAACATCTTCTTATGGACCGCAACGAATTAATCGTTTTCTATCATTTATATTGCAGAAATTTATTTAAATATAGATAGTGTTTAATCTCTTATATACACGTTTTTTTGAAATGTTTGTAAAAGTGCCCAAAATTAAAATATATATTTTATTATTTATAAAAAAAGCAAATAGCAAACTTTTTTGTTTTGGAAAATTGTTATATGAAATTTCTAAAAATATGTTTTTTACACTTAAGTTTGCAATATCATCATCATTTGCAGTATCATCATGAACATATTAGTACTTTTTGTAATAATTATTTTTATGAAAATGGTTATTAATTAATTAATTAATTATGATTAAAATTATTTAATTAGGATTAAAACATTAAAATTAATCGAAAGAAAGAGATTTGGACTGACTTAATATTTACAAGCATGTATTAAATTTTCTATTTTTTTTATTATATATGTATACCATTCATTTACTCGGAAAGATATGTAGCAATTTCTATAAATTGTCTTTATAACCGCAAATTCTTATTTACTACTAAAAATAAATAGAATAATCTATGCGGAAATAACCAAAGTCACTTTTTGATACAAATTATTATTAAAATCATTAGTTAGTCAATACGATACTGTAAGAGTTAAAGCAAAGAAGCGAAAACGAAAAAAATATAAAAAAAATTTTAATTTCCAAACAAAAAAATGTATTTTTTTAAATGTACCATTATTGTAACAGCCATATTTACTACATTTGCGACGATTGTTGATGGAAACAGTGAAAACGATCATAAGTGTGATGATCATGTAACAGGAGAAGCGGAAAATGTAAGCCTAATATATCCTTGTGATTACAATATAAAAATATTTATTTGTTGAATAAATAGGGGGAACCGTTTGAATATATTACACAAGTCTGTTGTCCAAATTATACCGAAGATAATAATGGAAAGTGCATACCAATATGTAACATTCCTTGTAGATTCGGCTTTTGTAAAGAACCAAATGTTTGTGAGTGTAATGAAGGCTATAAAAAGGTAAAAGAGAAATGTGTTCCAACATGCAAGCAAAAATGTTTAAACGGCTACTGCAGTAAACCTAATGTATGTGGATGTCCAATAGGATTTGAGTTGGACGCAAACAATTCTACTCTATGTATACCAGTATGTAATCCGAAATGTTCCAAATTTTCGAAATGTAAACCAGCTAAGCCGATAAATCGCTGCGAATGCATTGAGGGATATATGGAAAATAAGAAAACTAAAAGTTGCGAACCAGTGTGTAAAAATATATGTACTAACAGTTTCTGTAGTGCTCCAGATACATGTGAATGTTTTAAAGGCTTCGAATTTGATAATGATAGCAAAACCAACTGTAAGCCAAAATGTGAACCGAAATGTCCACACAATTCCAATTGTATAGCTCCTAATGAATGCAGGTGTAATGATGGCTACACTTTCAATAAACTAACCGGGCAATGTGATGCGATTTGCAAAGATCAAGTAAAGAACTCTAGATGTATTAGGCCACCAAATACATGGGAATGCAACGATAAGTACAAACGTGATCCTGAGATTGACAGGTGTGTACTGGAATCCTGTGTGTGCAAAAACAATGGATATTGTTTAGATCACAAAGACAAATGTGAATGCTACGAGGGTTTCACAAAAAATTCGACAACTGGTCAATGTGAAGCAATTTGTCAACCTAACTGTAAAAACTCCACCTGCGTTTCCAATAACAAATGCGAATGTTTGCTCGGATATCACAAAACACCTGAAGCTCATATTTGCGAACATAATGATTACTGCAATGGCCAGCCGTGTGAGAATGGTGAGTGTTTAATAACGGGAGACTGCAAATGCAAGTCAGGTTTTGTCAAATCGTTGTCGTACAATGGCCATCTTAAGTGTGATAAAGTACAAACATTTATTGGAAAAGTTATGGCTACGATTATAGGTGCACCACTATTACTAGCATCATTAGTACTAATAGTTGTTTATGTTATTACGAAGAAAAAATCATATAACGTAGAGGAACAAGGTGAGATTGCTTTTTTGGACTATAAATACTGCCAGTAATTTCGATGTATTGTGTATAATAAATTTAATTTTTGTTATTGTTTTTTCTTTTTCAGAAATGGTGTTAATTCGTAGACATTAAATAAAAAAGCCGTTTCTAAAATTATGTAAAAAAATAATTATTTATTTAAATACTAATATCTGGATGTTAAGTATGAATTTATTTTATAGTTTAAAAATAAAATATAGTTCCAGGATATACTAAGTAGCTATTACATCCTGGATCGACCGTTACATTAACTTCTTTATTGCATCTATAGTATTTTATAGTAGGTATCTATTAATATTTTATGCATCATCTTTGTAATTTTTTTGTATTATCTTGTAAATTTTGAGAACAAATCAGCAATATAGCAGTGTGGGGAGTTACACCGTCAATATAATTGGTTTGGTTTAAACGCCAAAAAACTATAAAGAAGGCTTACACGAAGTTTTCTCAAAACTTGCGCGAAAATTTTTTAAATATTACTTTTAACGAAAAGAAAAAATTCTTTTGAAGTGCATATTATACAAACAATAGAAACCTGGTTTGGATACAAGTTTCAATTTTGAATATAAATTCGGAATCGAAAAGAGTACATATTTTTTAGGTTCACTATATATATGTATGTTTATAATTAAAGCAATATTAAACCAAAAATATGTATGTACTACTATAGACATAATTAATATTGAATTACCTATCCTAGCCCTAAGAATATAAAGAGTTAATAATAAACAATTTCTTTAGTTCTGTAGGTATGTATTTTGATAAAAAAAATGTCATAATTAAACATTTTTCATCAGAGTGATTTAAATGATTATAACATGTACTTACATATGTATAAGTACAGATTTTTTTAGTTTCGGTAACATTTTGATAAATTAAATTTTTTACACTTTATAACATAAAAATTACAAACAATTTAAACTCATTCATTTATACAAAGTGCCGTACGCAAAAGTACAGTCAATAATGAACCCAACAATAAAAACAACAACGACAATGTTGAATGGCGTGCGTGTGTTTGTGAGTATCGGAACGACACACGTCTACAACAACGCCACTCAATATATAACGTTGAAACAAAAACTAAACAATCTAAACAATATTTTATAAAATAAATTTACTTACCATAGCGGGCCACGGAGCAAAACCTTTCATTTTAGCCCTAGAATAAAGAGAAATTACTGTTAAAAAAGTATTTTTCAATTCCATGTAAATTACAAAAGAAAATTAACATTTGTAGATTGGAAAACGCGCGGACTTTTTGTTCTTATTTGTACACAGCAGCAGCGTCACTTGAAAAAATGTGAAATTCCACAAAATAGAGTTAAGAACACTTAGGATCCGATGGGAATCCGCCACACATAGTAAACACTTCAATAGTGGTTCATTTACTTTTCCTTTTTGTTTAAAAAGAAAACTTTTAATATTCACAAATCACAATCAATTGTGAGGTTATGGTTAAGCGCCATTTTTTCTTTACAATTTTTTTCCAATAGTCACAAAAAACCGCTTGTTGTTACTTGGTCAATTTACTCTTGAATCTTTACATGATCATTCCTGGGCTTACCATACTAAATCCTTTGGCTTGTAACATAGTATCTCCTGTGTTTCAGCGACTGCGGTGGTACTGGTACCAGGCAGCGATTGTTTTTTAGCTTTCGACATTATGTTATCAATACGAAATTGGAATTTTATTTTGTTTGCCGTAATTTTTCCAACAACTTGATTCCTCTTAAATGGTTAAACACTTTTAATTTTTATTACGCACTCTATTTTATTTAGCTGTCGACGTCAATTTGTAAATGTTTTGTTTAATTTAAACAATTTAATTTCTATTAAAAACGAAAAAATTAAGGAAAATTTTTCTTTGCTATATTCGTCTTTTTTCTTTTCTGATATTTTTCTGCTGCTCCGTCAATGGTTTATAAGAAAAAACAAAAATGGCGTCTTGGGGGTAATAACGAGTAATTGTCAAATAATAACGTATAACGACACAACTACAACTCAGAGTTGTATTTTTGCCATAAGAAGACATTGCCAGAATAAAAAACTACACATTTGTTTTACTTGTGTTTAAAATAAATGTAAAAAAGGAACAAAATTAAAACGAAAATACAAAGTAAAATATGTTAGAACAAACTAAAATAGTTTATAGTAAAACAAAATTTCATATATGTAATGTTTATTTATTAATACAAAATAATAATTGAAAAAATAAAATTTTATTGAAAATTATTTCAAATATATTTTTTTCATTTTTTGTGATATGTTTGTAGTTTTAATAAATATTCGGAATGCTTTAATAAGTGATTGAGTAATACATCAACATTCAATTGGTTGGAAATGGGTCCACCATATTCAGCTGGTAGATATTCGTAACCAATCATATCTCGTAATTTATTAAAGTTTTTTCCATCATGTGTGAAAATCTAAAAAAAAGAAAAAAAAAAAAACGTTTTTAATAGAATTATGTACTAATAAACTTTAAATTAAACTTATTTAAATTTCAGTTAATCAACACTGGTTATTTACGAATAAAATGAAAGAGAACGAAAAGTTAAAAAAAGAGTTGTCAAAAAAATTGAGGTGAAAATCAGTTCTCGAAATTTGCGGTAAAAAATAACGTTCAGTGATTAAAAGGAAAATATTCCGTATTAGTGTGTAAAATATTGTTAAAGTGACAAAAATAATTCAAAATACACTTTGTGGTTAAAATAACAAATGTCATCAGAAACTATATTTAAGAATTCTGTAAGTTTTTTTTATTGTTTCACAAATTTGTGTTCATATTCATGCAAATGCTTTCCCGTAGCGATTGAATTAATCTTAAAGAATTTCTTCAATAATATTTAACCCTTATTCACTAATCTCTGTAGTTAATAATTAATCATCAGCTAAGGAAAATGTAGAAAGCCTGAAATAACTATTATTATTAACTTACGTGCTCTTTAAAATCCCGACTTAAAAATGGCATTATCATAGATGAGGCGGCATTCATTAGAAATCCACTTTGTATGATATGAATGTGTCTTTGGGAAAAGGGAAGAACTTTATTTTTCTCATTGATCAACCGACCCAAACGTGGTGATAGCATGGGTAAAAAGTTTCGGGTAATTCTATAATGAAACCATGCATTAAATAAAGGTTCAATTAGCGTTTATTTTTGACAAAAGTACCCATTTATGTCGAAAATAATTGTTATTCCACGTTCCTGTACTTGAGGTATCAGTAGCAATGATTCAAACACTAAATCATCCATTTCAATGAGATCTTGCAAGTAGTTGGGATACTTGCTAAAACAGTCCACTAAAAGTAATAAAAAATAAACTTATTTTAGGATCATATACATTTTTTTAAGAATATGTTTATTATCCTTCGTCCCAGTACTTGCCATTAAAGGCAGATTTTGAAAAAATCTATACATGAAAGTTTTCTAACTCTTGTTCGTTACAATTTACAGAAAATTGTTTTTTTAATATTTTTTTAAGACGTTTTTATATGTATATTTCATTACATCGAAATTTCATATGTTCAATATGTAATAATTTATATTCAAGTCGAAAAAAACACATTTAAAATTGATTACTGGGTTGTTCAATCCGCCAAAAATGTTTGCAAGACTTACCCGATTTAAAAATTACAATGGGTCGACCCATTTTATCAGGCAATGGCATAAGGAATTTCGCTTTAGTGTCCAGAAACTCTTCACGGAAATATTCCACTGTATGATGAGCCAACCATTTGGGATGCTCAGCTTTAAAGTCATAATAACGTCTTATATTTTCGAAAGCCCTTTCGACATCCCAATTGCTGTAGAATAAAAACTTTGACATGAAAATATCCTCACTTCCGATGTTCAAATCATTGCTGTCTTTTGGATATAAAAAATAAATTATTAGCTGCTATATCTGCTCATATCTTTCTTTTTTATACTTTCGATTTTTTCTCTTAAGAAGTGAATCTTCCTTTTTTGATCAAGTGTGAATGAATATGTCGTATTTAACATTAACATATTTGATTTTTTTTGAAACAATTTGAATCTATGTATTATTATTGCATAAATTACTTTTTACTTTTTTATTAAAAATATTTTTTATTCTGCGTTACTTGTATGGGACTTATCTTATACAAGATTAATAGGAGAAACTAAATGAACAAATAATTTTTGAATTTAAAACTGTCTGCCACCAAAGCTTTCATAATGTTGTTGCTTTTTTGTTTTTGCAATAATTGTTTTTATGAACATAGAATTTTAATTGTCTTTTTAATTGTGGCCGGCCTATTGTGAATAAATTTAGACAATGCACACATACATATGCACACACATTTTTCGTTTAATCGTTTTTTCAAGTGCATTTTAACTTGTTTATTTTTGTTTTGGTATCAGTGATTTTATTACAACATTTTATTACTAATTTCACAATTTATTTAATCATCATAAGTGATAAGGGTTAAGTGCTTTAAATGTATAATTTCATAATATATTACGATTGAAGCTAATTAAAAGATTTTTTAATTATATGTAGTTAGTAACTACATACATATGCATGTACCAATTTTATGAATATTGTTTTTAAACGAAAGTTTATTTAAAAGTTTATTTCTATAATAAAGTAAACAAGTATTGATGAAACTGTACAAAAATTGATTGAACAGTCTATGTTCAATCAGAAATGGAAACAGAAATGGGATTTAGATTCACGTTCATGTTAATGGTAAACGTTAAAGTTAACTTTTGAAAGAGGCCTATGGAGCCTTCGTATGTACGCTAGGATTATTAATTGGCGTTTAATCTTTACCTCAAAAATCTGTTCTTAGTAGAAGTTTTATTCGTTTTCAATATTTAAAATTAAGTAGAATGCGCCAATAACAAGTTTTCCTCTTTTTAAAATCGTACACTTTGTTATTCAAGCACAACTTTCCGAATACATACATAAGAAGAATTAACTGTTCAGTAGCATTTTGTTTATAAACAATAGATAAAATTATTGGCACTTGCAGTTATTTTTCCTTGAAATGGTCAGATTGGCTATAAGCCATAGCAAAAGATTTGTTAATATTTTTGAGATGCAAAAATTTGCTTAACAAAACGGTATTTTAATTACCCTAAAGTGAACAAGAAGACATTTAAATACCTGGCAATAACATGATATTGAATTTATGGTCTTTGAAATAGCAGCCAAGCGTTGTTTTACTTGTTGTAATGTAAATATTTCTATAAAAATTAATGGATAATATTGATAAAATATTAGCAACATTATCATAAATATTATAAAATAGGAAAATGGTATTAGAGTAGTACACTTTCAGACAGCACCATCAATAAAATTTTGGACAAAATGTTAACAGATTTTGTTAAATCTCAAAGATTTGGTTTAAATAATTCGAGAGACTATTTGGTATAATTTTTTTGTATGATCTATAGAACGTTTAACTAATGCTCAATTTTCCATCAAAAATGATTTTTTACATGAAAAATCTAAAATCGGCTGTAGATTCTTAAATAACGCTCTAATTGAGAAAACAGTGAAAATCTGTGATCACTTGAATTTTCCATCAAAAATGGATTTTTATATGAAAAATCTAAAATCGGCTGTATATTCTTAAATAACGCTCTAATTGAGAAAACAGTAAAAATCTGTGATCACTTGAATTTTCCATCAAAAATGGATTTTTATGTTAAAAACCTAAAATCAGCTGTAGATTCTTAAATAACGCTCTAATTGAGAAAACAGTGAAAATCTGTGATCACTTGAATTTTCCATTAAAAATTGGATTGTTATATGAAAAATCTAAAATCGGCTGTAGATTCTTAAATAACGCTTCAATTAAGAAAACAGTGAAAATCTGTGATCACTTGAATTTTCCATCAAAAATGGATTTATATCTTAAAAATCTAAAATCGGCTGTAGATTCTTAAATAACGCTCTAATTGAGAAAACAGTGAAAATCTGTGATCACTTGAATTTTCCATCAAAAATGGATTTTTATATTAAAAATCTAAAATCGGCTCTAGATTCTTAAATAATGCTTCAATTGAAGCAATTATCATAAAAATCTAAAATCGGCTGTAGATTCTTAAATAACGCTTCAATTGAGAAAACAGTGAAAATCTGTGATCACTTGAATTTTCCATCAAAAATGGATTTTTATATTAAAAATCTAAAATCGGCTGTAGATTCTTAAATAATGCTTCAATTGAGAAAACAGTGAAAATCTGTGATCACTTGAATTTTCCATCAAAAATGGATTTTTATCTTAAAAATCTAAAATCGGCTGTAGATTCTTAAATAACGCTCTAATTGAGAAAACAGTGAAAAACTGTAATCACTTAAATTTTCCATCAAAAATGGATTTTTATATTAAAAATCTAAAATCGGCTGTAGATTCTTAAATAATGCTTCAATTGAGAAAACAGCGAAATTCTGTGATCACTTGAATAAAACGCTATAATTGAGAAAACAGTGAAAATCTGTTATCACTTGAATTTTCCATCAAAAATGGATTTTTATCTTAAAAATCTAAAATTGGCTGTAGATTCTTAAATAACGCTCTAATTGAGAAAACAGTAAAAATCTCTGATCACTTGCATTTTCCATCAAAAATGGATCTTTATATGAAAATTCTAAAATTGGCTTTAGATTCTTAAATAACGCTCTAATTGAGAAAACAGTGAAAATCTGTGATCACTTGAATAAAACGCTTTAATTGAGAAAACAGTGAAAATCTGTGATCACTTGAATTTTCCATCAAAAATGGACTTTTATATTAAAAATCCAAAATCGGCTGTAGATTCTTAAATAACGCTTCAATTGAGAAAACAGTGAAAATCTGTGATCACTTGAATTTTCCATCAAAAATGGATTTTTATCATAAAAATCTAAAATCGGCTGTAGATTCTTAAATAACGCTTCAATTGAGAAAACAATGAAAATCTGTGATCACTTGAATTTTCCATCAAAAATGGATTTTTATCTTAAAAATCTAAAATCGGCTGTAGATTCTTAAATAACGCTCTAATTGAGAAAACAGTGAAAATCTGTGATCACTTGAATTTTCCATCAAAAATGGATTTTTATATTAAAAATCTAAAATCGGCTGTAGATTCTTAAATAATGCTTCAATTGAAGCAATTATCATAAAAATCTAAAATCGGCTGTAGATTCTTAAATAACGCTTCAATTGAGAAAACAGTGAAAATCTGTCATCACTTGAATTTTCCATCAAAAATGGATTTTTATATTAAAAATCTAAAATCGGCTGTAGATTCTTAAATAATGCTTCAATTGAGAAAACAGTGAAAATCTGTGATCACTTGAATTTTCCATCAAAAATGGATTTTTATCTTAAAAATCTAAAATCGGCTGTAGATTCTTAAATAACGCTCTAATTGAGAAAACAGTGAAAAACTGTAATCACTTAAATTTTCCATCAAAAATGGATTTTTATATTAAAAATCTAAAATCGGCTGTAGATTCTTAAATAATGCTTCAATTGAGAAAACAGCGAAAATCTGTGATCACTTGAATAAAACGCTATAATTGAGAAAACAGTGAAAATCTATTATCACTTGAATTTTCCATCAAAAATGGATTTTTATCTTAAAAATCTAAAATTGGCTGTAGATTCTTAAATAACGCTCTAATTGAGAAAACAGTAAAAATCTGTGATCACTTGAATTTTCCATCAAAAATGGATCTTTATATGAAAATTCTAAAATTAGCTTTAGATTCTTAAATAACGCTCTAATTGAGTGAAAATCTGTGATCACTTGAATAAAACGCTCTAATTGAGAAAACAGTGAAAATCTGTGATCACTTGAATAAAACGCTCTAATTGAGAAAACAGTGAAAATCTGTGATCACTTGAATTTTCCATCAAAAATGGATTTTTATATTAAAAATCTAAAATCGGCTGTAGATTCTTAAATAACGCTTCAATTGAGAAAACAGTGAAAATCTGTGATCACTTGAATTTTCCATCAAAAATGGATTTTTATATTAAAAATCTAAAATCGGCTGTAGATTCTTAAATAACGCTTCAATTGAGAAAACAGTGAAAATCTGTGATCACTTGAATTTTCCATCAAAAATGGATTTTTATCATAAAAATCTAAAATCGGCTGTAGATTCTTAAATAACGCTTCAATTGAGAAAGCAGTGAAAATCTGTGATCACTTGAATAAAACGCTATAATTGAGAAAACAGTGAAAATCTGTGATCACTTGAATTTTCCATCAAAAATGGATTTTTATATTAAAAATCTAAAATCGGCTGTAGATTCTTAAATAACGCTCCAATTGAGAAAAAAAAGTGAAAATCTGTGATCTCTTGAATTTTCCATCAAAAATGGAATTTTACATGAAAAATCTAAATCTAAAATCTTAAATAAAACTCTAATTGAGAAAACAGTGAAAATTTGAGATCACTTGAATTTTCCATCAAAAATGGATTTTTATCTTAAAAATCTAAAATTGGCTGTAAATTCTTAAATAACGCTCTAATTGAGAAAACAGTGAAAATCTGTGATCACTTGAATTTTCCATCAAAAATGGATTTTTATCTTAAAAATCTAAAATCGGCTGTAGATTCTTAAATAACGCTTCAATTGAGAAAACAGTGAAAATCTGTGATCACTTGAATTTTCCATCAAAAATGGATTTTTATATTAAAAATCTAAAATCGGATGTAGATTCTTAAATAATGCTTCAATTGAGAAAACAGTGAAAATCTGTGGTCACTTGAATTTTCCATCAAAAATGGATTTTTATATGAAAATTCTAAAATTGGCTTTAGATTCTTAAATAACGCTCTAATTGAGAAAACAGTGAAAATCTGTGATCACTTGAATAAAACGCTCTAATTGAGAAAACAGTGAAAATCTGTGATCACTTGAATTTTCCACCAAAAATGGATTTTTATCTTAAAAATCTAAAATCGGCTGTAGATTCTTAAATAACGCTCTAATTGAGAAAACAGTGAAAATCTGTGATCACTTGAATTTTCCATCAAAAATGGATTTTTATATTAAAAATCTAAAATCGGCTGTATATTCTTAAATAACGCTCTAATTGAGAAAACAGTGAAAATCTGTGATCACTTGAATTTTCCATCAAAAATGGATTTTTATATTAAAAACC